TAACAGGAACAATATTCTGCCCTGAATATGCTTAATATGTAGCTTTAGATTAAAAAATTATGTGGTACAAGACAAATATATATGATGTTGACTAGTGCGTGTCACGTGTGTGTGCGCGCGTGTTTGTGTGTTAAGCCCCGGATCTTCTTCAGTCCTAAATCCGCCCCTGAGCTCACGATACAATTAAGTTATTCAATTTACAAGCAATCATTAGCAACAGATTTATCTGAAAGGACATGTTAGGTTATATTTTGCTGACCTAATTCATGATCCATTTTGCTTGTGTGGTGTCTGTCCCCCTTGCAGCAGAGAAAGAGATAGAATATGTGAAAGAGGATGATGTAAGTGAAGATAGGGAAGGGGATGGTTGCTCTGAAGGTAGTGAGGATGATGAGGAGAGGCCAGAAGAAGAAGAAAGTGAGAGGCTGAGCAACACAGATGAGTGTCTGCCAGAGGATCCAGGACTATGGCCAGAGAAGCTCACTGGTCAACAAGGAGATACAGTTGTCAGAAGACTGGCGAATAAAAGTGATCAAACACCAGGAATCGACAAAATAACACCCAAAGATATGGAGGGCAAGCCATTTCCAAATTATCTTCAATATGCTAAGTCAGCCAATGGGCATGAGAAGATAAGAAGAGACTGGCTTATTTACAGTGAAAGTGCAAAGGCTCTGTACTGCATCCCATGTCTCCTCTTGAGCTGCTTAATGCCATCTACAGGATGCAATTACAGAGCATTTTTGGAGAAGTTTGTATTGGACTGAGGATTTTTTGCACACTACCTGTGACTGTTGCTGGGGGTGAACGGGCTTTTAGCAAACTGAAACTGGTGAAAAATTATTTGAGATCAACAATGTCCCAGGATAGACTGAACAGCCTAGCTCTTCTTTCTATTGAAAGCCAATTAGCCAAAGGATTGGACTTTAAAGATCTCATAAGGGATTTTGCTAACATGAAGACCCGTCAGTGGGCATTTACTGGAAAATAAATTCCAGGATTAATGTTTGAACACATTGTTGGCAAATAAAAATAATTATATGTGAAGTCTGGGCATTTCACTTTTATTATGCTGGCATTTGTATTTGCTCAATATAGAGGTTAAACTGAGATCATATTTATTATCTTGTCTTATAGCATGGCATAAAATGTGTAAGAGAGATATTACACAATTGAGCATGGGGCCCACCTAGAAGACTTGTACCTAGGGCCCAGAATTTGGTGCTACGCCCCTGGGAAGTACTGCCCGGTACCCATGACTTCTAAAGAACAAACCAATGGATTACCAATAAACCAATGTTCAAACACAAGCACTAAATAAAACTCTGGTAGAAGTAGACGAGTGAGCAAAGGTTTATGTAACCCATGTGGCAAACACACCTGCAACTGCTTCAGCCACCCCTTTAAGAGAAACCAGCGATCATTGATGTCGAGCTGCTGCTGCCCCGCCCAGAGCTCTGAATCCTCAGAGTTCAGTTGCTGCTGTTAACATCAGCTCTTTGCTACCAGCCTGTAGTCGTTGTGGTGTTTCTACCTGGAAAGGTACACTGGAGGTGAGCAGGAAGTAAGACAAACTGGTGTTGCATTCTTTGTGCGCTTTGGATAATTGGTGAGCTGCTTTGGTTGTAATTTCCTTTATCTGGTATCATTTATTTTCTCCCTGTATTAATGGTAGTCATTATCGCTACAAAAACCTCTTCAGTCTGCTTAACTGCTGAAAAGCTTTGTGGTTGTATCTACTAGGGTTGTCACGATACTAAAATTTCAAACTCGATTCGATACTGGGGGGGGGGGGGGGAACTCGATACTCGATTTCGATACTATTTAAAAACACCAATTTATTGAACAAGTTTATTCAAAAAATAACATTCCTCAATTTATATTGCAAAAATTAAATGTTAAGAATTAAGTGTATTAAGTGCTTAAACCTTTCAAGTATCAGCATTTTTTAAAACATGCATACAAAAACTGGTGAAAGTTAACACTTTAAATCATGAATTGTCTCACTATATATACACTATTTGCAGAGTGATGTTTTGCTGCTTAAACTCTGTTTAAGGTGCATTTTTCTCATAAGATGTAATGCCACATGTTTTGTTCTGTACTTTTGAACAACTCTGTTGGTCAATAAAGGGAGAAAACTAATTTCTCCACAGTAGGACAAAGGTACATCTACCGATAATCTTAATAAAAACAGACTGGCGCACGGCAGTGACGTCATTAAAAGCGCCGGTTAATTAGTCACAGCTAGTCTGTTTACGCCTAGAAATCCCAGACCCGCTCCAAACGAACAGGGGAATCACGTTAATGATTCCTAACAAAACCTTTCGACATTGAGATGTTTTGGTGCAGATAATGTCTTATTTCGAGGCTGCACCATGGGTGCCCGTCCGCACCCGTTATATGGATATACACTGATGGCGATTCGCCGATGGATCTACGGTAAATACCCCGGGGTATCCAAGTAGCACCAAAGTTGTCAGCGTGAGTAAACAAACGTACTGCATGCTAGAAATTAAGTTCGGGTTGCAATAAACGGGAGTTTTCCTTTAAGCACATAAGCGTGAATATACAACTACGTGTCGGACTTGGTATGCTAATTAAGTTGGGCTGTGAAGCGCCTCCCAAATTCGCTGTTTATGTTTTTGTTTATTTATTTGGCAGACAAAACTTGGATCGGAGACAACTCGCGTGGCAAATTGCAATGTAGCCATGCGGCGTCTTCTTCTTCTGTTTGTCTGGGAGGCGGAGGCATCTGGCTGTCGTGCGTGTCGGTGTACTTGAAGAAGGCTGTGTATAATAGTCCATAATATCGATCCCACAGGGATGGAATATCTAATTTAGATACCACTTTTAGCATCAATTTATATCTAGGTATGGATTTTTTTGACAACCCACTCTCCGATGAGTAACCAACTTCATGTGCATACAGCTAGTTAGCTGTTTGTAGGCCACAAGCCTTAGCCTAGCTAGTTAGCTGTTCGTAGGCCACAAGCCTTAGCCTAGCTAGTTAACTGTTTGTAGGCCACAAGCCTTAGCCTAGCTAGTTAACTGTTTGTAGGCCACAAGCCTTAGCCTAGCTAGTTAGCTGTTTGTAGGCCACAAGCCTTAGCCTAGCTAGTTAGCTGTTTGTAGGCCACAAGCCTTAGCCTAGCTAGTTAGCTGTTTGTAGGCCACAAGCCTTAGCCTCATGATCAGCACTGCTTGGACATTCGCTCTCTTTACAGACCAAAGAGAATGATTTATAGCATTCTTAATGTTGTCATTCTCCTGGGATATTTGATTGAACACTTACTTTCTATAACAAAGTGTCGATGTGAATTCAGCTGAATAATTGAAACAGATAAAAAATAAACTGATATTTGAAAATAAATGTACAAATTTAAATTCGTTAAAGAGTTTAAGTAATTTAGAAATAGACATGCCATCTTTATTATTTGGTTTATTTCTTTGTATATGTATATATGTAAATAACTGTATTAATTACTACTTTTTCTGGCTTAATTGAGGTCAGGTTTTTGTGGTGGGTATTTTTGTTTCTTTTCTTCAGTTTTCATCCTGAAGACCTCATTGGATTCTCCTCGGTTTTACCGTGGATGGCGAGCCACCCTTCAGAACGAACCTCACTTGGAAAAGGACTAAATGAATCTGAGATCACGAGGCCAAAAAGCCCGGTAATCTCTTAGGTCTTGAACTGAGTTGCATTCTTGTCCGTCGTTAATCCTGTAGTTTTTTCTTCTCATCTGTAAATAACTTTAATACACTGTTTGAACCAAACACCATTTGTGTTCTGGTCAGTTATCTTTATTCACACACTTCGACTCTAGAGCCAAATCTTATTCTGATCCCCATTCCACCTGCTGGTAAAAGGCAGGTTGGCGTGCAGTCCTGACCAGCGTCACATTTACAATAAAACCAAAAGTACATTTAGTGCTCCACTAATTGCTCTTTTGCTGAGACGGTTCCAAAAAGTGCCCCTGATGTACAGACCTGATACTAGACACATGGACTGTCCTTCCTCCATTACACTAATAATAATTTTTATTATGTTATGTAATGAAAAATAATTAACTATCCTGCATCTTGAATTTCAGTTGTCAAACATCTTTGTATAATTTAGAATTTGTTTAATAAATTTATATAAGTACATAAAAAGTGGTGGACCTGCCGGTTTTAAACTACCGTCTCACGTGCTCTAGATAGCGTCCTGAACTCTCTTTGAAGAAACAGAGTTGATGCTGTCTGGGATTGATAAGCTAATAGCTAGTAAAAAGGTTTAAAATAATATTTTGAATCAGTGTTTTTGGAGCTAGGAGCTGTTTTAAAACACTTTGGTCACTGACTAGTCGTTAGCGCCTCAGTCCTTGAGGACTTAAACTTTATTTCTCCAAACGTGGGCTGTTCAGGAAGTAGGCATGAAAATCTGAATCACTGGTAGCACGTGACCCGTTCACAAAGATAATTTTACTAATCAACATAGAAAGATTTTCCTCACACACACAAACTGTTACAGTGTTATTATTTAAATGGTGCAACTATGAGGTGTAATTAGGCTTAATTATTACATTTTAAAGTGAATCTGATGCCAATTTGTTTGTCAGAGCCGTGAAAAAAATCTTCAAATATTTTTTTAAAGGCAGCACTGAAGCCATCATTAAAGCGTATGTTCCTTTGGGAATAGACTGTGTGGTTTATGTATGCAGATTTTGAAACTAGAATGGTGAAGAACAGCTCCAGCAACAGCTGACCAGCCCTGGGCAACAGACTGCAGTCCTGCATGCAACATTAAAGGATTCGCTTTTGGAGCTGCTAATGGACGCTTTCAGCATGAATTCAGACACACGTTGGGCTCTGGTGGCTTCCACAGAGAGAGGCCCAAAAACAACCTCAGGGCCAAACAAAACAACTCAAAGACACGTTTGTTTATTCTCTTTCAAAACACTTTCAAGTGGCACTAATACACTGGGAAAGAATGTGCTGCTGGATCTCAGATTGCTCACATGAACGCGTCGTTAGAACTTCTGCCATTTCTTAGAGGGAGTTCTTGTTGGTCCTCGAGACCGGAACAGGATGGAGTCCGTTTACACGCTGCTGTGGTCCACATGATATTAAAAGATCCATTTTTTACAACAAAGTTTTCAGTCGAACTATTTCAGAAGCTGCAACTTCCTGTTCTAATGAAAATTCCACAGTCAGCCTGAACTCTGACACACTTGTAGCTGCTTCCCGTGCACGCTGATGCTAATGAGAGACGAGCATGCTCTCAGCCAACGAAGGGCGGCTTTCACGTCCCGCTCACTTCAGCCGAGTGCAAGGCTGCAATTTAGCCCAAACCCAACTAGCACACATGTGGTGAGAACAGAGGAGATGAGCAGCGTGGTCGAGCTGAGGGTTTCCAACAGCTGTGATTACTCGGTGCAGACAGCGGCTGTAATTTTCTGTAACTGAGAGGTCATAAATGACTTGTTCTGGAGCTTCAAAAGCTCTTTCTTCCAGATTCTAGGGACAAAACTGCAGATTTTAACTTTTCTAGGTCTGTACTGATCCAAACTCTGGTGTACCTGTTGAGGAACTAGAAGTGAGCCACATCAGAGGAGAGCTTGATATTCGCACATCTCTCCTCTGATTGGCTAACAACAACCCGACAATACCACTGGCTCTGTTTGCTCTGTCATGTTTCATCTCCACAAATAACACAAGTCTGGAGGAGTTCTGCTGTGTGGTGGAGTTGCTAATGCTAACAGTTAGCTTCTACTAGCACAGACATTCTCTGCTGTTTCCTGGACGCTAAACCAACAACAGCCTTCCCTGTCATGAGCCAAGATGGGTGAGTCCATGAATGTTAAGTGACAGGGTGACGTAGATCTGTCAGGATTTTCTAATCCTAGAGTTTCACCGTCTGTTTTCTATCAGATGCTAATGCAGGAGATAGGTGTAGGAGACTATTTTCATGTTCAGCCTGCATGAAACACTCAAGAGTGACCCGTTAGAATCAGAAATAATCTTTAAAAATGGTTTTACAGTGTTCCACACCTTTAACAGAATTCAAAAGAAAGAAACATCAAAACCAAAACTGGTTTAAGATTACTTTATAAGGCCTTCTGCTCTGGCTCTTTGATTTGTAATGCAACAAAAAATGCACGTCCAGAACTACAAAGATGCTAAACAGGTGTGTGCTCACCTGGAAGTTGTGTTTCAGCATCTGGAGCATCAAAAAAGAGCTTTTTACTCAAAATAACTTCCTGATGCAAGAATTCTCATTTTACTCAACCGTTTAATCATTTATTACACTAACTAGGTGCAGCTAGTAAAAGAAACATGTCTGAAATCAACATGAAAGTCCAGCAGTGCTTCCCTTACATAGGCGTAGCCGTGGCGGCCCGCCATGGCTGAAATCCCAGCGCCACGCCTACAAGATCCCAAGTTTTATTGATGTTTTTTCTTTGTTTTTGTTTTTTTTGCGCCGTTTCCCGAAGAAGCAGCGGGAACTACTCTGTTGTTGCTTGTGATCACAGAAGGCAGGCAGCAAGGAGGAGGAGGCAGGGCAGGGTGGTTACAGCTAGGGATGAGCCGGATATCCGGTACGGATAAAGCATTTCTGACGAATACGAGCATGAAACGAGTGTAAACCTCGTAAATATCTGTTATCGTGCTGAAGGAAAATCGTCATTGGGTAACTGACTGTCTTCACGCTCTGTGATTGGCCAGTCAGATAGAGCGCCCGCCCCTCCCTACACACAAAACTGCAGCCGGGAGCTCAGTCCGTCCGTCCGTCACACACACACACACACACACACACACACACACACACACACACACACACACACACACACACACACACACACACACTAAAGGATCTCTGTGCTTGCTTCACTGTTGCTCACGTTTCTTCAGAACTCCCTACGTTTTCTTCAGCTCGCCTCCTTTTCAGTTCAATATTTAAAGTTACTTTTATCGTAGTGTACGTGGTGCATTTGACAAGACAGAGCTGAAAACAGCTCGTGCTGCGTCGGTCACTGCCTCCGCTCCGGTCGGTTTTTTTTTATTATTTTAACTCTCTCTCCCTCTCTCTCTCTCACACACCTCAGTCAACATTGTTTTGTTTAACTGTGTGGGAAAAATGCCACCAACGTTAGGAAAAAATCATAAAATGGTTCTAATATTTCATATTTCCTAGTTCCTACTGCATGAGTTCAGATGTATTACTTCATGCACTTAAAGGGGCATTATGGAAGTGTGACAGCCAAAACATGTATAGAAATAATAAATGTCTTCTTCATACATTCTCCTGCAATGCCCTGGTCCTGTAGAATGAGCCCTGGCATTTTTACTGTGATTGCCTGTTTTTCTGTAAAATCACAGAAAAAGAGAGATGCTCGGGTCAAACAGGCTGCTTCATGCATGTTCTCGCTCAGGCATAGCCCGCCTAATAAGACTTCGAGCTTCCGTGCAGAAGACCCGGGTTCGATTCTGGATGTGAACATAGTTTATTAAGAGTTTCTTTTTTACACTAATGGTAGATTTTTTTACAGTAAGATGCCCAAATTTTTATTTGAGACTCGCCGAACGGCATTGAATTCACAGATAAAAAAGATGTGGGTTCAACTTTCATTTTGGAACAATTTTTCAAGCAAGGGAAGGGAATGATCTGAGCATGCAGGGAGACTGACCCATCATAAACCTTTGTCGGCTGTGCTGAAGAGAAAGGTACAGAACCAAATTATTTAATTAATTAGCTGCGCGTTCTCCTGTCCTCTGTCCTCTGGGCCACACACACACACACACACACACACACACACACACACACACACACACACACACACACACACACACACACACACACACACACACACACACACACACACACACACACACACACACACACACAAGGGACTGTCTCAGCTGTTATTTTCGTTAAGGAGTGTGCACATACAGCATGCGCGTCTCGTGCACGAGCCTACTATTGAAGCTGCCGTTACGCTTTTGGCCTGAGGGGGCAATCGCGAGCATAAAAATTCGAAACTCTGTGAAGTCCCTTTAAATATTAATGTTCTGATTTTACTGAAAAACTTGTTCTGTACAGTTCCTTTAATATTGTGATCAAAAATATTTAATCTCAGTTCTGAGGCTGCTCTGTAAATAGTTTTCAAATAAACAATACACATAGCAACTTCTGATCAATCCATATTAATTTCACATTTAAAATAATGTATTGATGTAAACCACACCCACTCATTTCCAAATAATAAGGTGCATTCATCTGTGTTTGTCCTTTGATCTGCATTACTGATATTTTCAGCACCAGAACAATGAAGCAAAGAAACATATTCCTGAGTTTATGTTAGTAATTTTATTTATTAGATGCATCTGACCTGTTCTATTTTTCTCTGAAATGAGATCAGATCAGTGCTTCTATGGGTTGTCTCCTCTCTGCACTAGAAAAATGTACTTTATTATAATGTTCACTGTAATGCATCTTGATGTTATTAACAAATAAATTAAATCAAAGATATTGGTCAGTAATGCCAAATATGTAAATTTGTGTTTCAGTCATTTTTATACTGGCTTAAAAATACTTCATCAATTCTACTAAGCAGGGGTGTATAATGTGTTTAACAGGGCCAGCCCAGTAATGATCTTGGACCAAAATAAAGGGGGCAGAAGGAGATGTTTTTCCAGACGCCAAGAGAAAGTAAATGCCAACACCCCACCCCCCCTGCAAAGTGTGTCACTGAGAGTTTAAAACAGAAATTATTCTTGTGCAAATATTGGTGTATTCACCTTTAATACTAGTTATTAAAATGCAGCAGTTGCTGGATTAGTGCAGTTCAAAGTGGAGAGCATCAAATAAAACAATATTAACATAAAGGTGAGACGTGTCACCCCCCCCCCCCCCCCACACACACACACACACACACACACACACAAAGCTGGAAAAATTCCTTGGGGAAACACTGTCCAGATTTAACCCACCAGCACAACAGACGCAAGAGAACAAGCAGAACTCGTCTCTGAACCTGAAATGTGTAAAATCAAAGACAGCTGCGCTCCGCTGACCCACAAATACATGATTTAAGCCACTTCCTGTGCTGAGAAGAAACAGTCTGAAGCAGGACTGCGGAGGAAGTGACTTACTGTCTTTAGGGGCGACGGGGCTGAACGTTCCACCCACGGAGCTCCTTCCCATTGGGCTGGAATGCTTGGCCCCACGGCCAGGGATTTTCACCCCGCTGGACTTCAGCATGTTCATTCTACCGCTGCAGGAGACGACCGCGAACCTGAGAGCTCTTCCCTGGGCGATGAGGGCTGGTTGAGCAGACAGCTAGATGAGCCAGCGAAGGCTGATGCTGTCCATGTTTAGCTAAGGAAGGAGAAAGCAGGGGTGATGTGAGGATAAATGTGGGAACAAAGTGAGCGAGGGACCCGATCAAACAACTCGGGCACAAAATCTACGCTTTGCTACTTTAGGTTGGTGATGGTTCTGATTGCCGGAGTCATGCTAGGTGGTGGGTTTGTGTTAGTTTACTAAACATGGAAACAGGTTTTAATGAATGGAAATAATCAGGAATGAAGGCCATGTGCAGACTCATTGTCTTTGTTTTATTTCATATCAGCAAATGACCAAGTGTTTGGTTTTTATGTAGTTATTTTTAATGAGAAAGTTGGTATTCCTGCCAATTCACACCATAAAAACTAATATGTGTGGGATGGGAAAATCACTTTGATCGCATCAGACCAAGATAGGTCCAGACGTAAACACGGCTAACCACTGACCAAGAGGGAGTGGTGGTGTGATCTCAGGTTTGTTTAAGTTTTCTTGGTACCCTAACCCTAACCAATAATAGTTTTCACAATGGTTTGATCAATGTTAATCGTGTTTTTTTTTAGAATATCCAAGCATTTCCATGTGTGCTCACTTACTCAAACTGACAACTAAAAGTGTATTTTTGCAAAAAAAAATGACTATTATTTGTACTTTTTTGCTAATAAGAGCAAACTGTTAGTCGTATATTCTTCAACTGTCAACTTTTCAGTCCAAGCTGAGTGAAATTATGAGCGACAGCCAATGTAGGCCAAGTAGATCATGACCTATAAATCCTGATCAGACCTCAATTAAGGAGATATTAATAATCAGTGAACAAATAGCACCTGGGTGCGTCTTTTAAACTGAACAGGTGCAGATTTCAGGCATAATGATGTAAAATAAGAATTCTACTCAGTGACTCAATAAATCAATAACGAGGCCCTATGTGTGCACAGAGCTTAGATAACGAGACCATCGGAACCGACCGGAGGCCCGGAGAAATGTCCAAACCGGCTCCTGGTTCCATCGAAGAAAAGGATCATAATGCGCTGCTCAACAAAATGTAACACAACACCGGTTTGACCTATTGTTGTAGCTACTGCGGCAGGGTGGTCTAGACTGCCCTTCACTCACAACCAGTAGACGCCCTTCTTGGTTTAAAAACGGCTCAAATGACACAAGCATGCGGGAAAATACTCACCTTTCTGGGTGAAAATAGCACGTCCGAGGGGGTGTCCGACAACCGGCTAACTTTCAGGGCTACGCCGGGGAGAAAGGGAGGGGGGATTAGCCGCTGCCACTCCCTGGGATGCAAATATGGATGCTGGGAGAAAAAAAACTGAAAGGGAGAGTCCGCGTGGATCAGAGGATGATGGTCTAACCCGCGCCGACTCAGCAACAAACCGGTGTAGGTTCAGCTTTCAGCCTGCCGGTTCATTTTAGGGGTGATAGTTAAAGCGGCTAACCGACGTTGAGACGTCAAACACCGGCGCGCGACCTCCAACGATCCCCGGAGCCACACGCAGCATCAGCGGCACTAAACCCCCCAACTTTTCCTTCCGCTCGGTGGGTCACTCCTCCTCGTTTGTTCTGTCGGTCTCTCTCCGGTTTCCACGTTGCTGCTGATGTGATGATGCTAGCAGAGCCTCCCTCTGACTCAACCCACCGGCTGGACCGAACAAAGGGGCTGGGAAGCAGAGCCTCCTGGGGGAAGGATGAGGCAAGACTACACCGTCTGGCTCAGATGTTCAGAGTGAGACGGTATCTCCCCTAACAAGTGATTCACCAAGCGTGACTCAGACAATTGATATTTTCGTACTTTTATTTTTAGATTTAGATTTATTCGACTCAACACAAACGGAGAAAACACATATTTATGACGCAGTTTAATCCACCCATGTGTTTTTAAATAGATGTAGTGTAATAATAATAACAATACATGTGGTATTCGAAAACTGGGGCAATTTTTGTTCATTCATTT